TCCCTGAAGGAGGTGCCATTTCCACTGCCCCGTGTCATCCACAAGGTCGGCCACCTTCAATTCCAAATCTACCGTCCGCGGAGCTTGGGTGGCCTGTGCAATCAACGGTCCGGTCCCGGCGAGCCATGGATCAAGCCAAAAATGTGCTTGTAGTCCATTCCCAACTCGCCACCTCAGCCCTCGTACCACATCGGGCCAGGCCTGACTAACCGCTCGAATCAATAGAGAACCTCGTGGCCAGCGATGTTGCCCCAGCCGAGCCAAAGAGTTGAGTTTATATTTAGCCTTAAGGACCCTTAACCACAAAGAATCCGGGGATTTGAGGAGTCCCCAGCCCAGCTTCATCATGAACGCTTTATTCATACCATGAATTTCCGTAAGTCCCAAACCCCCCTCGTCTTTGGGCTTACACACCTCGTTCCATGCGACCAAGTGAACGCTTTTGCGTTCCACAGTAGCACCCCATATAAACGCCCGACTCCGCTTCTCAAGACCATCAAGAACGGCACACGGGAGCGAGGTAGTTTGCATCGAGTAAAGTGGGAGTGTACTGAGGACGGATTGGGTGAGCGTCACCCTCCCGGCCATCGACAGCTCACGCCCACACCAACCAGCCAGGCGGGCCTCCGCTGTGTCCACTAAGCGAGAGTAGGTGCCCGTGGTCACACGCCCATGGATGATGGGCATGCCAAGGTATTTGCCTAGATTGTCTGTCAAACGGGAGTTAAGCATCCCCTCCAGCCTTTGTCGATCACGCGACGCGACATTGTGGGAAAAGAAAACCTGAGTTTTTTTCGGGCTCACCTTAAGGCCCGAGGATGAGCAGAATTGCGCCAGCACTTGCTGTAGAAGGAGTGCCTGAGTATCCGAAGCCTCAAGAAACAACAACAAGTCATCCGCAAACATCAGAAAGGGCACTTTAACCGCCCCACGCCCAACTGAAATAGGCCGCCAGACCAGCTGGTCGACCAACAAGCTAATTTGCTGGGCCAACCTCTCCATGCAAAGAACAAAGAGATAGGGCGAAATGGGGTCCCCTTGCCGCACCCCTCTGGTGGGCTGGAATTCCTCGCCTATGGTACCATTCCACATCAAACGCATCGAAGCCGACCGAAGGCTAGCCATAACCGCCGAAACAAGTTTGGTTGGGTAGCCAGCAAGACGTAATGTCTCATCGATGAACTCCCATCTCAGATAGTCGTAAGCCTTCTCGAGATCCACCTTTACAACCATAAAACCCGTAGGACCTCTCATTCCTCGCATGGAGTGAATCAATTCTTGTGCCACAATGATATTGTCTGTAATGTGGCGTCCCAGAACAAAACTCGCCTGCGCAGGGTGGATTAGTCTCGGCAGGGTACCCTTCATCCGGTTCACCAGGATCTTGGTGAATAATTTATGGATCACATTCAGCAGGCTGATGGGCCGGAACTGGCGAATCGTAGTAGGTTTCTCAGTCTTGGGTATCAGGACAAGCAATGTTTGATTCACACTGCCCGGTACCTCTCCCTCATGCCACATTTGTCGTAGGAAATTTCTGACCGAGGGGCCAACTATTTCCTAATTCTGCTTATAGAAAAGCGCGTTAAGCCCATCCAATCCCGGCGCTTTGAGAGACCCCATGTTATGCAAGGCATCCGAGATTTCCTCGTCGGTGAAGTTGCGCTCCAAGGCTCGCATGGCAGTCGCATCAGAAGG